TCAGCTGCAATATCCATTGAATGTTTCATTGACATGCTGTGGAATAATGTATATTGAGCGAAATGCCCTGAGTGGAAAAAATAGCAGGATCAATATTACAGTATAGAGAAATCTCTGAGTTGAAATGGGTAGATAGCAGCAGTCAACTATTTGATTACTTTACTTTACTTTACTTTATAAGGAAATGAGCAAGCTGTAAGAAACTATTAGAAATACTGGCAAGAGGATGTTTTGGAACTTTTAATATACACTGAAAAAATAAAATGAGGACACAATCTAATGTCATTTTGTATTTCCTTTGCTTATTCATTATTCATCACCAGCATTGACTTGCAAACATCGTCCACTCGGGAACCCCATGTCACTCTCATGCATTCTGTGGGTCCTTGTATGGCTGATGAGCTTGATCCTAGAGCTGCATCTCTGACCACATGTTTGGCAGGTTTTTCTGGAAGGTAGAATTGGTCCTTGGCCTCGATTTACTGGCATTCCTTTCTCCAGTTCCTTTTCTGTACTATGTCTTGCAGATGGACGTTCTTGAAGAATTGTGCCCCTTTGTACAAGAGATTCCTCCAAGTTGGTTTCTTCTGAGCAAGGCTCACCCAGGTGTTGATGTTTATGTTGCATTTCTTTAAGAAAGACTTGAGGGAGTCCTTTGAAGCATTTCCTTGGTCCTCCTCTTGTTTGAGTGTCTCCCTTAATCTGGACCAAGACTATTTGCTTTGGTAGTCAGAACTTGGACGTACTCAGCATGTGGCCCGCCCAAGCGGAGTTGGTTTTGGATGATCATAGATGTCATTCTGGCTCTTTCAAGAATGGTGATATTAGAATATTCATCTTCAGATGATACACTGAATCCATCTTTAACAGTGTTTCTGGTACTCCTGCAGGGCCTGGAAGTGGCATTTAGACATAGTCCAATTTTCATTGCCGTATAGAAGAGTTGGAAGGATGACTACCTTATACATAAAGATCTTGGTATCAGTACAGATATTGCAACCATCAAAAACTCTCTCATCCTTAGTGATGCTCACTGATTGGATGTGATGTTAGATCTCCTGGTTGATGTAGTTTTAGATGAGAGGTGACTTCAGGAAAGGAAAATGTTCCATGTTTGGAAGGTTTTCTTTATTAATCTTAATGTTAGTGAGGGATAGATAGGAACTTGCCCTGTGATGAGTTGGTAAAGGATTTGAGCCGTCTTGAGGTTGAGGCCCAGACCAATTCTTTGGTATGCTTCCACAAAGTCATTAAGCGAGGGTTGATGATTACTTTCCAAGATAGTGGTTGAGGTTGAAAGGTTTTCTGTTCATCTGTAAACAATGTCCACACCACTGGGAAGCTTGTTCTTAACAAGGTGAAGCTTGGTGACAATTAAGATGGAGAAAAGGGTAGAGGGCGATGACACAATCCTGCCTGAGTCCGTTTTGACCTCAAAGGATTCTGTCATGTTGCCATTAGGCAGGATCGTCGCTGATATCTTGTCATGGAGGAGACTGAGGACGTTGATGAATTTCTCTGACTAGCCATTGACATAGGTCTTCCCTAGCACTTTAGGGTTGACCTGAGTTAAACATCTTGGTCGCATGAATTGAGGGTCACGTTGAGTGGTTGCTGTTGTTCCTGGCATTTCTCTTGGAGTTGTCAAGCAGTGAAAATGTCCATAGTTTCATGGTTTAGTCAGAAGCCATACTGACTTCCCAGAAGAATTTCTTCAGAGACTGTGACAAGGCACTTAGCGAAGACTTGGGCGATAATCCTCCTGATGATGGAGAGTAGGGAGATTCTGCACTAATTCTCACAGTCCATTTCATTTCTTGAAGACAGTGGTGGTGGCAGTGTCCCTGAGAATGGCAGGAATTTCATCTTTGTCCCAGATTTTCAGGAGCAGTTGATTTGAGATGACGGCTAAACTCTGCTCCTCCACGTTTGGAAATCTCTGCTGGAATCCCGTCCACTTGTGCAACTTTTCCATTTTTGTGTGTTTCATGGCAACGTAGACTACCATCTAGTGTGGTAGAAGTCAAAGATCATCTTTGGAGAGTTGGGGGATTTGCTGAAACACTTCCTCATCTACAGTGTTTCACAGTATAGGAGTTCTTGAAATGTTCTCTCCGGAGGCTGATGTTTTCTCTGCTTCTTAAAATGGTCCCATCCTTAATCCACAATGGCTTGAGGCCAAGGGTGTTGGATCTATATATCACCTTGGTGCCACTGGAGATGCCCCAGATGTCGTGCTTGTCAGCAAGAGTTGCAACTCCTTAGCTATCTCAGTTTACCATTGGTTATTGTTTTAATTATGTGTATATGAAAGGATGTTATCTGTCTGATCTAGTAGAAATGGAACGGAAGAACATGTGATGGTTATAATGATCAGGGGATAATTGAGTGGAAAGGGTATGTGTGAGTGTGTCTAAGTGTGTGTCTAATCACTGTTTTCTGTTTGAACCTGTGAGGTGGAATAAAACTTTGCTGAGAAATTATGTCCCTGGACTTTGTCTAACCAGAATTTCACTGTTCGGGGTTCAGATATTCTTTGATACCCCTGGACCAGGTGGGACTTGAACCAAGACCTCCTGGCTCACCTTACTGTTAGTGTTTAATAACTCCCACCTAGATTTGTGTCACCTGCAAACTTGAAAATATTGAATTGATCCCCCATATCTAATTATTGATTTAGATGGTGAATAGCTGGAGCCCAAACACTGATCCTTGCGGTACCCACTAGTTGTGGCCTTCTAACCTGTTAATGATCTATTTATTCCTACTCCCTGTTCTCAGTCCATTAAAACGTTCTCAATCTTACCAATATATGCCGTCCAATTCTGTGTGGTCTTAATTTTGTTTACTAAGCTGTCATGAGGATCTAATCAAAAGTTGTCTGAAATTCTAATCATGTCATATCTACCAATTTCCTGTTATCTGTTCTGCTTGTTATATCTTCCAAAAAGCTCCAACAGGTTTGACTTTCATTTCAAGAAATTTATACATTTTAATCAACCTATTAAGACGTGTTCTGACCTTCAGAGGTAGAGACCATGTTACTGCACCACAAGACACTTTTATAAATCTATGTTGACTGTCCAATCCTACTATAATTATCTTGTTGCCCTATTATCATATCCTTTATTACAGATTGTAGCATTTTCACTATATCTCTGCAGCCAAATTCTTCATCACTCTGGAATGTAAACCACCTAGTCCAAGTGATTCATCTACTTTAAGTCCTATTAAGTTACCTGGGTAGAAGCACTTCTTTTACACTAATCCTTAGATTCACTATTATTTTCCCAATGAAGACATACCTGAAACATTTGCTTAGTTTCTTTGCAGTTTCCAAGGGGAGGAGGTTGGGATGATAGTTTGAGGTGTTTGTGGTTGGAGACAATGGCAACAGTCTCTGCATCACAATGGTTAAGTGCTGAGTCTACGTAGGACCCAGAAATATATTGGAGTATCAGATTGTGAGCAGTTGGACTATAATGGTTCATTTGCTTCTGATGTGAAAGATAATTGGGATCAAGAATCAGCATTTCCAACTGGAGTTAAGGGCAATATGTTTCAGTTTCCATGGGGAAGAGGGCAGAGGAAACCATTTTTGAAATCAGGTTATGGGCTTCTGTTCAAATCAATGATTATCAGACATACAGCAGTCTTGTGAGGTCAGCAGAGAGGAGGCTGCATGGCTTTCTAAGCCACCACGTTTGATGCAGGAGGGAGAGAGAGAAGATGGTCTTTCAATGAAGTGACGCATCCCTCAGTCATTTAAAGATTCAGGGAAATTCACCCTGGCATGGTCAGAGGCAAAGAATCATTGGGACAGCCTTTTAATGCTGGTAGTGGATTTAAGAAAGTTACTGAAGTAAGGGAAGTGCTTTGAGATAGTCATTTAAAGTTACTATTTGGTGAAACAGGGATACAGCAACCTATTGGAAGTTGAGAGCAACCGTAGGCTGTAATGTCATGGCCAGTACAATGTACGTTAAGTATAAAAGTGGAAAGTGCCTCTCTATTTAAAGTATATAAATTGCCTACTATATCAAAATGTTCAGTCAATCAAATATACATTTTAAAATGTGAAATCTGTTGTGCTATTCTTTAGCTATTAAGTGATTTAGTTCTAATTTCTCCCTTTAAAAATTATTGGCGTCAACATAAATCATAACAAAGCCTTAATGTGAGGAATAACCACTAGGGTGATGTGCCTGAAGGCTAACTATCTCAGCATTTATTAATACTAAGAAAAGTGATTAAAAGTATTATATGGCGAGAGTAAGAAAAATTATGAACTTCCTGAGTTGTAGTAGAGATGGAGACTTGCTGTTGAATAAGATTTACCACAGAAAGATTTAAAACTGTGACTTCTGAGATAATAGTTTGAAAAGCCTGTTGCAAAAACGTAGAATCAAGCTACTTCCTTGCCTGAAAATAATTTGGAAACTGTGACTTGTATGTGGTTATGGCAAAAATGTACTTTGTGAGTAATCAACAGAACCTTGACTGTTTACAGATGGAATATTCTTTATATGATAAATGACTTTTAATCAGCTTATTGCAAAACCAGTAACTCATGGTTTATTAGACATGGTGCAGTAAGTATTCTTATCCACATGAATATGAATTATAATTTGTGGGATTTGAGAGATATGGAAAAATTCTTTAGGATGTATTGTTCTGAACTGAAAATTTATGATGGTTACTTCCCTTAATGAGAACCTCAGCACTGGAGATGAAGGAATTTGCTGTCAGTTACAAAATCAATTGCAACTGTAAAGAACAAATGTTAAATATATTTAATGCATGAGAGCAAGCATTAGATATAATTCCTGTTCATATCATGTTTTTAACTAAAGAATAAGAGACTATTATGGATGTGAAGTCTCAGACCATGAGTAGAAAATTACACTCGATCATGCACCATGAATGCTTCTGTTGATTTTAAATAATTAAGTTTTAGTAACTCTTTCCTCTATTGTAAAATGTTTTATTTTTTATTTCAGATTCTGTTTGACCAAGCCCAAAGATCCATCAAGTTACAACTTCAGACATTTGTTAAAGAGTAGGCATCTTTTTTTTGTTCTTATTAACCTTTTAACCATTAAACTTTACTTAAATGATCAGACACTGCAGAAAAGATGAAAAATTTTAAGTCTGTGAACCTCAGTGAAACTAGGAATGTTATACTATTTCTGCATTTAGTGATATGTCAGTTTGGAAACAAGAAAAAATTTCCTCTCGTGAACTGTATCGCCCGTAACAGCTACTGTCTAAGTGCACAAAAGTAGTTGCCATGCAGTGGTTTAGGTGAACATACTTTGAGATATTGCACCGTAGTGAAAGTTACAAGAATTAAACATTTACATAATGCTGACAGTGGTACTGGATCTAATTATTTTTATATTATTGTTGGAACTTCTTTCCTGCTGAAAGATCAGTCTGAATCAATTTTCACCATTATAGAAGCCGCAATAGAGCCATAAACATGGAAACAGACCCTTTGGTTCATCTCGTCCATGCCGACTGGGCATCCCAATCAGATCTAGTGCCATATGCCAGCATTTGACCCATATCCCTCTAAATCATTCCTATTCATATATCCGTTCAGATGCTTTTCAAATGTTGTAATTGTATCTGCTGCCTCCCACTTCCTCTGGCAGCTCGTTCCATACGTGCATCACTCTCTGCATGAAAAGTTAACCCCTCAATCCTTTTTAAATTCTTACCCCTCTCACCTTTAAACATATGGCCTCTAGTTTTGGACTCCCTCACCATAGGCAAAAAACCTTGACTATTCACACTATCCGTGCCCCTCATGATTTTATAAAACTCTAAGGTCAGCCTCCAACGCTTCATGGAAAAATGCCCCAGCATACTCGCCCCTCCCTATAACTTAAACCGTCCAATCCTGGCAACATCCTTGCAAAACTTGCCCGCACCCTCTCAGGTTTAACAACATCCTCCCTGTCGAAGGGCGACTAGACTTGAATGCAGTATTCTAAAAGTAGCCTCACCAAAGTCCTGTATAGCTGCAACGTGACATACCAACGGCTGTATTCAATGTTCTAACCAATGAAGGCTATCGTGCCAAACACCACCTTCACCACCCTGTCTAGCTGCAACTCCGTTTTCAAGGAACTGTGTCCCTGCAGCCCTAAGCCTCTTCGTTCAGCAACATTCCCCAGGCCCCTACCATTAACTATACAAGTCTTGCACTGGTTTGCTTTACCAAAATGCAACACCTTACAATTATTTAAATTAAACTTCATCTCCTACTCCTTCGCCCATTGGGCCATCTGATCAAGGTCCTGTTGTATTGAGGTAATCTCTTCACTGTCCACCACACCACCTATTTGGTGTCATCTGCAAACTTAGTAACCATGCCTCCTGTACTCACATCCAAATCGTTTATACAAATAATGAAAAGCAGCAGACTTAGCACCGATCCTTGTGACACACTGCTGGTCACAGGCCTCCAGTCCGAAGAGCAACCCTCTACCACTACCCTCTGTCTCCTACTTTCAAGCCAATTTGTATTCCATTGGCCAGCTCCCTCTGGATCCCATGTGATCTCACCTTACTAACCAGTCTACCATGCAGAACCTTGTCAAATGCTTTGCTGACGTACATATAGATGACATCTACAGTTCTGTCTTCTTCAATCATCTTTGTCACCTCTTTAAAAAAACTCAATCAAATTAGTGAGACACAATATCTCATGCACAAAACAATGTTAAACATCTCTAATCCATCCTTGCCTTTCCAAATGCATGTAATCCTATCCCTAAGCATCCCCTCCAACAACTTATCCACCACTGATGTAAGGCTCACTGATCTGTACTTTCCTGGCTTTTCCTTTTACAGCCTGTCCTGCTGACTATTAGGGGGCTTGTAATATAATCTGAACAAGGTGATCGTCCCTTTTCTTATTTCTCAGTTCCACCATATAACTTCACTGGAAGATCTTCCAGGAATATGCTCCCTAAGTACAGCCGTAATGTTATCCCTATTCAAAAACGCCACTCCCCCTCCTCTGTCGTCCCTGCCCCAACCTTTCTATCCTTCCTGTAGCAACTATACCCTGGAACATTAAGCTGCCAGTCCTGTCCATCCCTGAGCCAAGCTTCTGTTATACCCATGCCATACCCAAGGGGAGGCAATGGCCTCGTGGTGTTATTGCTGGACTGTTAATCCACAGACCTAGATAATGTTCTGGGGACCATGGCAGATGGTGGAATTTGAATTCAATAAATATCTGGAATTAACAGTCTAATGATGACTGTGAATTCGTTGTCAATTGTCGGAAAAACCCATCTGGTTTACAAATGTCCTTTAGGGAAGGAAACTGCCACCCTTACCTGGCCTGGTCTACATGTGACCCCAGACCCACAGCATTGTAGTTGACTCTTAACTGCCCTCTGGGCAATTAGGGATGGGCAATAAATGCTGCCTGGCCAGTGACGCCATCATCCTGTGAATGAATAAAGAAAAAGAAATGTTCCCAACTGCTCCTATGATGCTGCTTGGCCTGCTGTGTTCATCCAGCTCTGCACCTTGTTGTCTCTCTTGCCCTAAGTTCATTTGCTTTACCTCTCTGGCCTCTTGTATCGAAGTAAATGCAGTTTAATTTATCAGTCTTACCTCGTTCTCTGCCAAGCTCTTGTCTGCCTTGCTGATTTGACTTGCTCCCCCTTGTCTACTGTACAAGCCTCAGCCTTTCTGTTTTCCTATTGAATATCAATAGGATTCACAACCAAACACACTTCCTGCAGACGTAGTCTCCAGCAACATTCATATTCTCCCTGATCTCCCACATCTGATGGGAAGAGCACATCATCCTAGTTAAAGCCATTTCTCCCCCTTTAACAATCAACAGACTCAGAAAGTGCCTAAAAATAACCGCAACACACTTTGTTCAAAAACGCAGCATTAGCACAGTCTTACTGCTCAAAAGCACTGTTCTGTGACAACTTAATACCAGTCCGGAATATTAAAAGTCAATCAAGAGACCGATCACTGTATAAACATAAAGGAAAAAATGTGCCCTCACGGTATTCACTATTATAGCTTTACAAAAGGGAAGTTAAGATTTAGAAGTGCTATAAGTCTTAAGATCAAACACTTAGCTGATCAGGCTTAAAACCAAAGGTTGTCCTTTTCACTTGTAGTTTTAGACAGTGACTTTTTTTTTTCTCTGTAAATCACTAATACCTCTACAGCTGCACCTGAAGCTAAATATTAGACCTCCACATCAGTTATGAAATTGCACTGCTGTTTGTTATTTCAGTGAAACCCGATCTTCATAGCCCTTCTGCAATTTGTGTTACAGCTGTTAAATTACATATTAGCTGTTTCATAAAAATCCGATCTCCTTGCCTTATGCGATTCCTCAGTCTCTGAACATGCCATATTGTCGCTTCTCTGAAACTCATTAGTGTAACATTCTCTGTTGATATCTACCACTGTCTTCAATGTCTATATTGGACTTCAGTAAAGCGTTTGACAAGGTTCCGTGCGGTGGACTGGTTAGCAAGGCAAGATCAAACAGAATACAGGAAGAACTAGCCATTTGGATACAAAATTGGCTGGAAGGTAGAAGACTGAGGGTGGTAGTAGAGGGTTGCACTTCAGACTGAAGGCCTGTGACCAGCAGTGTGCCACAAGGATTGGTGCTGGATCCACTGCTTTTGTTATTTATAGAAATGATTTGAATGTGAATATAGGAGGTATGATTAGTAAGTTTGAGATGACCTTAAAATTAGTGGTGTAATGGACAGTGAAGCAGATTACCTCAGAGTATAACGGGACCTTGATCAGATGGGCAAATGGGCTGAGGAGTAGCAGATGGAGTTTAATTAGGTAAATGTGAGGTGCTGCATTTTAGGAGGGTAAATCAGGGCAGGACTTGTACACTTAATGGTATGGTCCTGGGGAATGATGCTGAACGAAGAGATCTCCGGATGCAGGTTCGTAGTTTGTTAAAAGTGGAGTTTCAGGTAGACAAGGTAGTAGAAAAGGCATTTGGCATGCTTGCCTTTACTGGTCAGTGCATTGAGTACAGGAGTTGGGAGGTCATGTTGCGGCTGTACAGGACATTGGTTAGGCCACGTTTGGAATACTGCATGAAATTCTGGTCTCCCTGCTGTAGGAAAAATGCTGTGAAACTTGAAAGGATTCAGAAAAGATTTACAAAGATGTTGCTGGAATTGGAGGGTTTGAGTTGTAGGGAGAGGCTGAATAGGCTGGGCTTGTTTTCTCTGGACTGTTGGAGGATGAGGATCAGGATTGACCTTACAGACGTTTATAAAATCGTGAGGGGTGGATGAGGTGAATAGTCAAGGCATTTTCCTCAGGTAGGAGAATCTAAAATTAGAGAGCAGAAGTTTAAGGTGAGAGGGGAAAGATATAAAAGGGACCTAAGGGGCAGCTTTCACATGCACAGGGTGGTGCGTGTGTGGAATGAGTTGTCAGAGGAGTTGGTGGAGGCTGGTACAGTTACAACTTTTAAAAGTCATCTGGATGGGTATATTAATAGGGAGGGTTTAGAGGGATATACGCCAAATGCTGGCAAGTGGGAGTAGATTAGAAACATAGAACAGTACAGTACAGGCTGTTCGGCCCGCGATGTTGTGCCGACCTATTATCCTACTTGAAGATCAAACTAACCTGCATACCCTTCATTTTACTATCCTCCATGTGCCTATCCAAGAGTTGCTTAAATGTACCTAATGTATCTGACTCTACTACCACCGCCGGCAGCGCATTCTACACGCCCACCGCTCTCTGTGTGAAGAACCTACCTCTGACATCTCCCCTATACCTTCCCCCGACATCTCCCCTATACCTTCCTCCAATCACCTTAAAATTATGCCCTCTTGAAATAGCCATTTCTGCCCTGGGAAAACGTCTCTGGCTATCCACTCTATCAAGTCACCTCTCATCCTTCTTTGCTCCAATGAAAAAAGCCCTAGCTCCCTCAACCTTTCTTGACAAGACCTGCCGTCCAGTCCAGGCAGCATCCTGGTAAATCTCCTCTGCACCCTCTCTGAAGCTTCCACTTCC